CTCGGCCTACCCCAGGAACGGGGGGGGCAGGCCGGGGAGGAGTCATGTACGGTAACCGGAACCCGACCGGCTGGCGGTGGACAAAAAACCACCCATTTTCACGTGCCCGGAAACGAACCCGGGACTTTGACATTGCAGGTAAAAGGGGTGTTTGCCCGACACGAGATAAGGTGCCCCAAGCCTTATGTACTGACATGTGGTGCCCACATACCCCCCCGGATACGAGCGAGCGGACAGCTCAGCATCGTAGACAAATACGCGGGTACCACGACGCACCCCCCGTAGCATGTACGGTAACCGGAACCCGACCGGCTGGTGGCGGACAAAGAAACACCCACTTTCACGTGCCCGGATTCAAACCCGGGACTTTGACAATGTAGGGATGACATCTTGCCGCTGACGCCACTTTAAAAAGCGTGTTTGCCCGGCACGAGATAAGGTTCCCCAGCCTTATATGCTGACATGTGGTGCCCACATTTACTTGTATTTGTTGGCAAAGCAGTACAGCTGCAGTTTGTACTCCATTTGCTGACATTAATATTACTCATATTTTTTAGTGCAGCATGTGTGCGACGGCAGATAAGAAAGTTTGGGTGAGACTCTAGCTTTACGGACTTGGCAAGTAGATCGAGCAATCAACAAGGAAGTTGGGCGGGACCGCAGGCCGGCGCAGGAGGCCTCACCCAACCAAATCCACCACTTGCATTGAATGATCTGGGTAAGGAACAAGAATACAACATTACGTAAGGTTTACAGTCAAGCTGGTGGTTTTATTAAGCACAGCAATACTACCGCAAGAAAAAAAAGACACGCGGCAGAGCCATCCGATCGAAGTTACGAGTCACAGGCGTGTTTTTTTGTTTTTGATTGGTTTTTCCAGGGTGAAAGAACTGCAGGCGGTGAAGCAAGTCGTGGAGAAACTGTTGCCGTTCAATTTCTTCTCCAAGGGAGAGATGTTCAGGGAGATGATGACGACCAATGCAGTAAACACGACGTATCCAGAGCTGCCTCCGAAGCGTGTGAAACACTTCCTCGTCGAGATGTACTGCGCCACGAACAAGATGAAAGTCAAAAGGTTAAGGTTGATCTTGCGCAGCCAACTTTAACTTTAGTCAAAAGCGTCAACCCCTCGACGGTGAATTTCAAATGTAAGCTTTAGTTTTGCGGTCATACAAACGTTGTAGGTATGTACAAACAACGCACAATACGCCAAACACGATGATAGTCTAATTAGAAAAAAAAATAATTGACCTTTTCTGCTGTTCATACCCCCCACACCACCACCGTTTTGCCGCAGGCAGTATTGGGCGACATGGTGGAGGAAGTGAGGAATGCACCGCTGCCCATTCTGCACCACATGATCGACATCTGGGCCGACAAACCATCGGGGCGCAAGTTCCTCGGTGTCCACGTCTTCTACGTGACCGCCAACTTCGAACTGAAGCAAACCCTGCTCTCTGTGAGTGAATGAAACCGCTTCGTGTTTGACGTGAACCGACCTTTGAAGATTTGTTTCTTTTGCACCCCGGGTAGCGCGTAATCTCCTAGTTTCCATCGGTTTAGTTGGGGTCTATTTACTGTTTTCCAATTTCTGTTTTCTGTCTGTGCACTTTTGTTCTTTGTTTTTCACGGAGAGGTCGCGTTAATTTAATTCAATGTTCTTTTCTTTCTCCAGCACTGACCGAGGCTATTTTGTCCACCCGAACACCTGATAGAATACTTGATTTACCGATTCTTCTGCCAACTCCGTGTCTGTCCCCCTTCATTCCCCCCAGATCAAGCGCTACCGGCCCTCCCAGGACGCTCTCGGAGAGGCGAAGGCAGCGGAGGTGCTTCTCGAGATCCTCGAGGCTATCCTGCACGAGTTTGGCCGGCGCCCATCGGACCTCGCTTCGGGTACTACGGACAGCGGATCGGACGTCAAGTCTGTGAGCGTCAACGGCCTCCACCCGAAGTATGGGGTTCTGTGGAACTGGTGTTATTGCCACCTGATGATCAAGGCCGCCGAGGACGCCTTTGGCACCCACCCCGACCCTCAGAAGTCCAAGAACCCGGAAGCGCACAACATGCTGAAGAACCTCATCGGCATAGTCGGGACCCTCCACAAGTCTCTCAACTTGACGGCTAAGTTCGAAGACCTTCAGGTGGACCTGTTGGGCGAGGTATTAAAGATCCCCAACCAAGCTCCCCAACGTTGGCTCACCCTGGTTCGCACAATGGAACGCGTCATCCGCTTGTGGCACGTCCTGCGGAAGCTCTACAGCGACGCGGGGAAAAACTTTATACTCGAAGAAGGCGACAACAAGGACTGCATCCCTCAGCTCTACTCGCTGCTGCAGTCGCTTTCTTCCGTCACGCGTGATGGCCAGTACGGGGGTTTGCCGATGCTGGCAGACATCTACATAAAGTTTGGCATGCTAAAGATGGGCGTGCTGAACTCGTCGGCGGATCTCAAGGTCTTCGACATCCCGCCGCTTGGAGAAGACGGCCTTCCGGACCGTAAGGAACAGAAGAAACCTCTGCGGCACAAGATGGTAGCACACGACGAGTTGCACCCCGTGGCACAGAAGGCGCGCGACAAACTCTGCCGCGCGCTCGTCTCGAGGTTCTACGGTCATGTGTGGGACGACAGTTGCCTGGATCCCTCCATGTTCTGCGATGCTGCCTGCCTCCTGACGCCGCCGTTCAGTGAGGGGAACTACCTCTCGGCGATGAAGCTTACAGCAGAGGAGGACGACAACTTGGCTGCTGTGTCGACCGTGGTAGCCCCTACGTCGGACGAAGACGTGCGAGAGAAGCTGGAGGGAATTTGGGCCGAAATAAAGAAGCGAGCAGTCACCGCCGTCAAGACAGAGCAAAATCGGGTCGCGGGTGAGGGTGGGGGCCAGGGGTCAGATCCTTTCAAGCGCGCCCGCACTAGCGGCGCGGTCCCATCTCGTCGCAAGAACTACGAGGACGACTTCTCGATGTTCGGGTGCAACGAAGTCGCCCCCTCCCAAAGCGACGGTGGAGATGTGGACTTTGTGGAGGAGGAGGTCTCGGGCGAGATCATTCGGTACAAGGGAGTCTTCATGAAGCCAATCGACGTGAGCAACAAGATTACTACATCTGTAGCTTATTTTTCATTTTCAATTTTGGTTTTGTTTTTTGGTCCATATGGTTGTCGTAGGCCACGAAATTGAACTCAACACTAACACTAACACACTTTCCCCCCCCCTCGATCTCGCGGCTTTATCCCGTGTCATTCACCCTTCCAGTTGCCGCCCAGCGACGTCCTTGCCTACTGGAACAAAGTAGGGAAACAAATGTTTCCCTCACTCAAGTATGTTGCGCAGCAAACATTCGGCAGTCAAGCTTCTGCCGCTCAGATCGAGCGAGACTTCAGCCACTGCGGTCTTTTCAGTACCGGGAACCGCAGTCGTGCAGAAGAGTATTGGCTGGAAATGGTGATGGTCCTTAAGGGCAATTACGAGCTCATTCCCGACTACAAGGACATCCCCAGCATTGACTCGAAGGACATTAGGAAGTGCCTCCCTGCCAAATACAGCGTTGGCGGTCTACAGTTAGTAGTGATTGTGATTGGTAAGGCGGATAGGGGGGGTGCGAGGGAGCATCGAGGGGGGGGGGGGTCATAACATTGGATGGTTGGCGTTGGAATCATGAGGGCGTACGCTTACATTCAGTTGTTCCCTCAGTATTGTCAGTACTGTACTAAGCGTACTNGGAGGATGACATTGGCGTGGGGCTCTGATTTGATTTTTATTTTTGAACACTCAATCGAGTGGGTGGATTGAGGATTCGTGCTTTACAGCGTTGGCGGTCTACAGTTAGTAGTGATTGTGATTGGTAAGGCGGATAGGGGGGGTGCGAGGGAGCATCGAGGGGGGGGGGGGTCATAACATTGGATGGTTGGCGTTGGAATCATGAGGGCGTACGCTTAGATTCAGTTGTTCTCTCAGTATTGTCAGTACTGTACTAAGCGTACTATTGGGTTTAGTAGGGCTTCCCATATTGTACTAAGCGTACTATAGCGTTTAGTACGGCACTTCATACTGTACTAAGCGTACTAACAATTTAGTAAAGCTCTCCATACTGTACTAATCGTACTGTTGCTTTTAGTAGGGCTTCCCATACCGTACTAAAAACAATTCTAGTACCGCTCTTCATACTGTACTAAACGTACTATTGCTAATAGTACGGTTTTCCATACTGTACTGATACTAACCTCAGTACCGATTCTGGATACTGTACTAAACGTACTGTTGCGTTTAGTACGGCTCTCTCTCCATACTGTACTAAGCGTACTGCTGAGTTTAGTACAGGGTCTCTGTACTGTACTCAGGTGAGTACAGTATTCATATCTCATATACTCGACTGGTACTAACCTTAGTACGGATTCTCGATACTGTACTAAAAATACTGTACTGTACTAAACCGACCCTTGCAAACTTGCTTTTTTTTCCTGAGCATGGCGCAGCACGATTGTTGCTCACGTCCTCTTTTTCTAATCTGTTCTGAGGCCTCTGTGCTAAAGTATATATTAGGCAACAATGGTTGGGAATGAAGAAGTAGCATAAGAGAAGAGAAACACTGAAGAAATCAAGAGGGCACGCCAATCAATAGCCCAAGGTTACCCCGACTAACCTCCCATCTTCTGGCTCAACCCGGAACAAAAGCAGCAGATCCCGAGATCCGCTTTCAGGTACGACCGGTTGTTGGTATCGACTGCCTATATCTCGTGTTCCTTTCTTCGGTCTGGTTCATTTAGGTTCTGATATGTATAGGTAGATGCAGATCGGTCCGTCCGTCGATATGGTTGTGGTTAGCAGTTGGCCCTCAAGCTTCGATACAATCTATTGATCTGTTCTAAATGTACAATTCGCCTTAGGTCTCAGGACCAGAACCATACTTTGGTATGGTGCCGGGCGATGCTGGCAGGGATGCTGTCGGATGTGTAGAAATCTTCCTAGAAACGCATGCAGAGAAGACCGTGCTCTCACATACGTCTGGGGGGGGTGTACTCATAGTCGTGCATGCCATAGTCGTTAGACCATTGACCTCGCATCCCTACAAAGCCGGGACGGAGCACGCCGGGTTCTCACCGGACCAGGCTCTCACATCACCAAGCGCGAAGCGCCGTGATATATTCGGCGAATCGCATGAAGGGTGAGCTGCATCCTGCTAACGTCCGGGGGAATTGTATAATAAGCATGAGCTGAACGTCGGCTGGGCGCATGCCCATGATGGGCACTCAATGGGCTGCCCACGATTAGCTATCCATGGGTTGCCCATGGGCAACGGCCCATAATGAATGGAGGTTCGTGGGCGCACACGCACACACATGCCCACATATGGGCTGCACCTGGGCTACCCCTCATGGACACAGCAAATACCCAAGGCCGCACTCGCTTCATCGGACTCCTGTCACGAGAAACACACAATCAATGCAAAGCGTCGCACATGTGTTGCAGCTACAACAGCAGCACAGTCAAGAGTAAGCGTTCACCACGAAAAAACCGGCCCGAACGAGAGCGCGTCTTATTCTCGAGATGGAGGGGTAGACAAATATGCAGCGGGTGACAACTCAATACCTGCAGTCATCGCAGTGTTCAAAAGGTTGACGCGAAGCGGGTCTTGCTGTGTACCACGCGTCGTTATGGGTGAAGTCTTCAAATACATGCGCATGCGGCCAAGATGTTGGTCTTCACACGTCACGCTCCGTACGTTGGAACGAACAAGCATGTTATGTTGTCCTCCGAAAGCCAAACGCAAAAGCCATCCATCCCTCCTATGGAAAACACAGTCCACAGCCATGTTTCGCGTCCTGTTTTTTTTTAACGCGACCTTGCCAAGGGACACGCTTGTCCCTATATAGACTAGTTACCGGGCAATGAACGCCCTCCCCGCCCACTGGGGGCGGGGGGGCCATAATGGCAAGGTAGACGAAGACATGAGGAGATGAGGTGGAAAAAGCGTGGGTTTTGCGGGAGGGCGATTACACACGGAGATGGTTGGAAGAGGCTGATGTAGAGGAAAAGAAAGTCGGTCGCGGGTGACTGTCCGCGGCTCATTATGAAGGATGTGTAGGTTGACTGGGAATAGGGAGGCGCAAACCGGAGATATGTGTCGGGATGATGAAAGCAAGGAGAGAAGCTATGGAAACGACCTCCCGACATGGGAAGGTTGGTCCCGGCGAAATATGGTATAGTCTATTGAGACGGACATGCATGAAGGTCATTGCGCCGTGACCGAATAGTAAGGTGTCTGTGGTGCACGTAATGACAGGAACGAAGGATGAACAACGACAAAGACTTACTTGTTGTTGGTATTATGAGGTAATGAAGACGAACGTGGAGCGCAAGTGAGGTATCTGTCGCTCGCCGTCGTCCGTTGGACCCAGGATGCACGGTACACGCGCAAGTCCAACATGAAATACAGCGATGTCACGATAAGCGAAGGGGTAATTCCCCTCCAGTATGAAACGACGTCGGATGTTCCGGTAAGCATTGAAGGCGACAAAAACAAAAATGAGGACGGCGCGAGGATAAACATCATGACCCCCCGAAACGTACGTCGTTTGACGAAAACAAATTTCCGACGTAACATGGAAGCGGCATAGTCTACATGTTTTGTCAAAACAGTACGCTTGTTGGAAGTTGGGCGGCGCTGTTGTCCAACAGATGATAGAAAATGTGAAACATGAACATGCGAACAACCACCGTTTGCCTTCACATCCCAAAACATGAAAACACCTACAGGTAAACAAAAGACATAAACTACGGAAATATTCGTTCTTGGCAGAAGAGTTTTAACGATGGTGGTACGTTCGCGACATGGATATGTTGGTGCTGCGAGGCCAATGTGAACTGCGTTGTTGAAGAATTTTTCGTTGAAGGAATGAAGTGAAGGAAGCGCAGCATTCATGCGACATAACAACCGGATCACATGGCATAAAACAGCGAGAAACGGCGCGGTCGGGCCACAGAGAAAAGATAGGAAACCATGGATGAGGCAAAACGTTAGGAACGACCGGAATTAAAACGGTGACACATACATGTACGACATCCGATACAGAAAATAAGACAGAAACTATTGATGGGCGAAAATCGGCACAAGGACTAGAAAATAGATAAGACTGACGACATGTACGAAACTCTGGCCATGAAACGAAACCCATTAAGTAAAAAAAAACAGCACGGGAGGCACATGACGGTGCGGTATTCTACGTGTCTCTGACATGAACGCAACAAGTATCTCCCCACGAAATGTAACAAGTTGTTGTCGTGCTCGAGGAAGCAGCGACCTGAAAACAGCGTTGTTGACCGTGTCGTACCCATGACGGTTATTTCTGTCCTATGTAGTCAAGATAATCATCCCATTTGACCTACGCACGCGGCAAAGTCGACGTACAAACGACCGTGCGCTCAAGGATCCAGCGTGCCAACCCTTGTCATGCAACCAAAACCAATGAAAAAAACAGCACGACGACACACGACGATAAGCTTTGCTACGTGTCTTCGACATGAACGCAAGTACAGTATCCCCGAACGAAATATGACGTGGTCCAGGCGTGCTCTATAGGTAGCAGCGAGTTGAAGACGACTTTGGTCACGTTGGCGATTCATCACGACTGATTGAGTCCTGGTCGAAATAATCATACGATTCGACCTACGCCCTCGGGAAGGGGTCGACCAACAAATGACCGTGAGCGAAAGAATCGAGCGTGCCCATCCTTGCCATGCAAGCAAACCAAACATAAAAAACAACACGGGAGAGACGGTGAGCTTTGCCACGTGTCCTCGACATGAACGCAACAAGTAGGCGTGCTGCATAGGTAGCAACGACTTGAAAACAACGTTGTTGACGGTGGCGTACCCACCACGATTTAATTCTGTCCTGGGTAGTCCAAATATTCATGTCATCCGACCTGCGCACTCGGGAAAGACCGACGTACAAATGACCGTGCGCGAAAGGATCCAACGTGAGGTCCAAGCAAGTACGGTCAAGCGTTTGTCCTTGGGCATGGTGGACCGTGAAGCTAGAAATAAAGCGCACGGGGAATTGGACCCTCTTCGCGGCTACTCCCTGCCATGTCATGCAACTGAAACCAATACAGCAACAACAACAAAAACAACAACAACAACAACAACAGCAACAACAGCAACAAGCACGCGTAGTGACAGCAGCACGCGCGGCGGGTCGAGAAGTGGGTGCTGTAGTCGCTGCCGAATGTTCTGCTACTCGCCACCAGTGCGCGGTGGTCCGAGGAAAGGAACATCTATTAGTCTATATTTCCTGAATGCATAGTCTAGTCTAGACTACGATCTTCGCCGCAATATGGTACATGGTATTTACTTGCCTGCGTTCGTCGTCTTCGTCGGTATTGGCGTGTCGTTCATCGGTGACGGACACCATGGCATCACACTTGGTGATGCTGAAACGTTTGCTTTTGGTCGATGGTAGGGATAGAGACGTGTGACGGTGTGTATGTGTGCACCGGTCGCAACTTTCGGCGAGACCGTCGGGAACGTTATTCAGAGAACGGTCTTCATGTTCCGTTCCCTTTTGTTCTCAAGTGTTGTGGTTGTGGATTGCTGGACGTACCATATGGTTGGCATGATCTTTACCCATCCTTGCTACAATGTCGCACCTACCGTTTGTACTCGTGTAATTGTTGATTGCCGATTCAGCCCTCCTGTACGAGTCTACAGCACTGTAGTGGGCACACCCTCGCTGGTGCTGTATACGCAGTGTGCGTTGCATGCCGACATGTGCTGATGTGCTGGTCAACCGCTGTACACAGGTTGCATGCAGGTTTGTAGCAACACACACGCGTTCGCCCTCTACGCGCCGCCAAAGGTGAAGATGTGGGTGGAGTGATATGATGAAGACGCATGTGCTGCTGTGCCGTTTCGTGCTATGTTGTTGCTGTATTACATATAACGGCTGCTGGCTGGACGTGTAGACCACATGTGCGCTTATGTCCTGACCAACCAACCAGCTGCTGACAGTCCTCCAGCGTACATCTGCTGGACTGCTTTTGCCCTCGCCGACGCGTTGTGCAGTGAGGACGCTCCTCCAATCCTCGGATGGCGTCTACACATGGTCGGCGCCATACTCACACCCGCCAAGGCTCCGCCCAGCTACACAACAACTGAAAAATGTGAGGGATATTTCTGTCCCCTTGCCCGTACCTTCGTGTATGCTAACCGTTCTTCTGCTCCGTCTTCTTCCCCTTTGCTAGTTTACGGGATACCATGTCTACGTCCACCATATTATCCGTAGTATATATTTTGAACGTGCTCGAGCCTTCCTTCCATCTACTCTCTCTATGTATAATTCTGTCCGGTACGTCTCCTCCTGCTGCCAACGTGGTGGCGGCCCCGATTCTCAACGAATGCAGGCCAACCTGTTTCGGGTCGCCACCTGCCTTCTCCACAATCTGGCCAAGGGCTCTAAGAGCTTTGGAATATCCCCAAACCTTACTCGTCTTGCTCCTCCTACAGCGAAACGAACACAGAGGAGCGTCCTCAGGTAACGCGAGATGGCACGCCATCAGTTCCATCAACACCGCCACGGCACCGCCACCGGCTCCAATCTGAGAACTCGCGCCCAGTGCTACTTCGCGCACTCGTGTAACGCACGCCCCCTACTCTGACCGACAGTGTGGCAAAAACCTCATCCGAACGCGCCACCAGAAAGTTTGACAACGCCAAACACAGCCACAAGACGCTGCCACCTGTACCCCACGACGCCGTCAACTGCTGTCCTTCCAACAACGTCTCCCACGAGACGGGAACCCGACTCCGACTCTTTGTGCCCGCGCGAACGTGAACACGTGCGACACCCAACAAACTCCGTTCGATAAAAGGCGCACCGGCAGGCAACTCAAGTTGCTTGTCAACTCGATGAAAGTACTGTACCGCGGCGAGCTTGCCAGATATGGTTGGTGCAATGTTACCATTATATGCACAACACCACGCCACAAACTCCAAAAGTGCTTGTTCCAGCCCAGCCCCATCCGCGTCCCCCGAGCGGTACTCCGACTCGCCAATCATGCGGCGAAAAGCACACCAAGCCCGCCAACCCGACAGGTAAGTTCTTCGAGACGACTGCGCAACTGACTCGCGGACGTACTCGCCGCTTAGACGCCGGTACAAAGATGGGCGGCCTCGGGGCTCAAAGACCTGTTGGCGCCAGGCGACATTGAGACGGCACAGGCGAAGACGAGCGTCAATGGTCGCCGGCTCCCATCGTGAAATACCATCTGCAATCGAGTTATCGACCCCCCGAACATGAGCCGCCTCAAAACACCATCCGCTGCCCATCTCCTAACATCCTAGCATACGCATGAGTGCCCCCGATCGGGGCTCGCTCTCCCCCCGACACTTGTTCACCCACGCGGCACTCGACGAATTGTATCCGATCATACGGATGCTATTGCGGGCGAACTCTGGCCTCATGTCCGATTGAACAATGAACACCTAGGCGCCAACTACCATCGCGAGGAGTTCGAGCATGTTGATGCTCAGATCGTCGCGCTCCTGGGCCTGCTGGCGAAACCTCTCCCGTACGTCGTGACTGTTAGGGTTAGGGTTAGGGTTAGGGTTAGGGTTAGGGTTTAAGTCAAAACGCCACCACACTCCCGACCGGATTTCGGCATGCAAGAAGTACCCTCCCATCGCATCTCCAGATGCGTCCGACCACAAAAAACACGAATATGGTTGATCGAAAAAAAACACACAAGTGGGGCTGTTAACAGCCGCGACGGCGACCCCAGGCCCCCTTCGACCAACAGACGCCAAAACCGCATGTCGGCATGAAACTCGGGAGGGTCCCTCGACCCCCGCGCCCCACGGAAATGGTCCGATGCACACGACGCGGAAGCTACATTACACCGGTCCCCAGTCGGGCTCCACATCACTTCCACAAAAACACCATCGTCGACATACAGTAGAACCGCACAAAAAAACGAGTTAGAACAGCCGCCCCCCGGTTCGGGGGGCATGCGACACCCAAGGGGGAATAGGGGTGGCGTCTCTCGTACGCTAGGTAACGGAACCTCAACATGGTTCGTAGCCGTCCGGCCAAGCTCAGTGACCACTGCATTATCCACAGACGTGTGATTGTGAGAGTGCTCCAACGCGGCAGTCATGACACAAAAATTGCCAGGCGAATTGCGCCACCCAAACACCAAGCGCCGATCTACCACGACAAGGTCCCCAACTGAGTAGCCGAACACGGGAGCTCCCGACCATTGAGCCGCAACCTGTCGCAATGCGTCCGTCACGTCTATTTTGCTTGACGCGATCCGGGCCGATGGTCCGTACGTCCTCCGCAACCAAAAAATGCGCCACACGATGTCCCGCAACACATGATCTTACTCGACTTTCGGCGCCGCCTCTGAATCCGTGTCGGCATTGACACTACGCGACACGGGTGAGCATTCAAACGTCAAGTCATGGATAATCTGAATTTTCTCAGGCGACACGACTACACCTAGCGGCGACAACCGCAACCCCGGGATCGATTCTGCCTCTGTCTTTGGAAACACGAACGCCCGCCCGAACCCCACGCCATCAAACACTTTCCGGAGAATAGTGTCAGAATGTGGGACGACACTACGGTGGTTACCATACGATAGCGCTGCTGCGATTTCGGCAGACCCACACACGGGCACTACGGCGCCACGTTCCACGATAGCAGCGACAGTCTCTGTGTGAGGAAAACTCTTCAAGCGTCCAGACCAAAACCGAATAAATTCAGGCCGTACCCGCGGCACCCCGATGCCGTTTTCGATGGCTTTGATGCATTCAAAGCTGCCCCCCATGCCGAGAAAAAAACCGAAAACACTTCACCGCGATCTGAGCAAGTACGGTTGCACGTGGTGTGCCTTTCGCGACGGTCTGAGACATAGCATGTACCATGGAAACAATACGCCTAACATCATTCCCATCGAAAATACCAACCCCACCTCGGGTCAATGCAGTAGCCGCCCCTGGTCGTTGGAGGTGCGTGCTCGGACCCGAGACCACGCCCCCGCGACATCGAAAGACGGCCCTCCCCCCCCCCAGGGGGCAGGGCCCGCGCCCCTATTCCTCATCATCGTCCTTCGCGCCGCCGCCGGCACCGCCCTTTGCACTGCTGCGAGTGTTCGTCCCGGCCATTCCCACCTTGGCCCACTTCGCTGGGGCGGCGGCGGCAGGGGCGTTAGTGTCGGCGACGGTGGAGGGGCTACCTTTGGAGCCGCCCTCCTCGGCTCCGCCGCCAGTGATGCCCCACCTTTTTCCTCCCTTTCCGCCGGCCTTCCGTGGCGCCACATGCGCGAACTTGCAGTATTTCCCCCACCGACATGTACCGTCTCTCTGGAACTGGTAGCACGGCCCCTGGTCCTTGGCCTTGCTGCCTTTCCCCCCGGCACCCGCTGCGGCGGCCGACGAACTGCCGGCCTTGCCTCGCACAGCGGAATTGATCAGTCCTCCCGACCGGAGATACGCCGCGAGGTTTGGGAAAGCCGGGAGGGGGGAGGCCGGGAGAGCGTCCTATGGCGGAGGGAGAACGAAGCGCCGCTGCATTTCGTCCGCGAACATCTGTACGTAGCGCGTGTAACATTCCAAAACGATGTCGCGGTTGTGCGGCACATGGATGGCCGCGTAATTCTCCCGAGCGTGCCGCTCCACGTCGGCGATGGCCACCTGGAACGAGGCTTCGACACGATCCACTTGCGCTTTCGATGCCGCCGCCAACCTCGGTTCGTGGGCGATCCCCCGGCGGGCGATGGTGATCAAAGCCCCCGCCATGGGGCCGACATGCGTTGCGATGGAGATACGGGGCGCGAATGCAGCAGGGTCAAAGCCACGGAAGTTCAAGAGCATGCCGGCTACCTCGTCCGTGACCTCAATACTATCATGCATTAACCCTTGCAGGCTCGCCTTCTCTTAACTTCGGCGGAAAACATCCCATCACCACCCACCACATGCGGCTGTTCACCGAGCTCCAAGCGTTCACCCGCTGGTCCGAGATCACCTTTTCCATCCGCTGCTGGGCGTGCGACATCCCCGTTCCCATCCCGTATCCCCCGGAGTCGATGTGAAGGCTTCCCGCTCCAAACGGGGACGAAATCGCGGGAGTGAAGTCTAAGCCGCCCCCACTGCCATACCGACCAACGCCCTGCAGCAACCCGGGATTCGGCTCCACGCGGTGGAGCCCGTAACCCGCGTTCGCGCCCCCATACATGGACGCCGGCGCCACGCCGGCAGCTGCACGCGCGCCCCCATACCCGGGCGCTGGTGCAGCTCCGGCAGCGGCGGCCCCGCCGTCCCGATCACGCACGGCTGCCAGCACCTCCGCGAACCTCGCCGCCATTTCGGCCTTCAGGTCCTCCACCGAGGCGCTGATGACGGCTCGCTCATTCGCGCTGTCCTGCCGCTCCGCCTCGTACTCGTCGCGGCTGATCATAGACTCGTCGAAGGAGTTCTCGTCCCCGCTCATATCTCCGCCCCCGGCCGACTTCGCCGATGTACCGATCAAGTTCCTGATCATGACGAACAAGGAGGACAATATACATCGGGAACTTAACATAATGATGCGAATGCCAACCGTATCCCAGCCGCACCAGCGACCTACCCGCTACTCCTGACCACCACGTCTCATCACCAGATGAACCGCATCAGAAGGCTCTAGCGTAACCAGTGGTATATGCAGTGCGTTACCATTGCCAGCTGTATATATCGCGTGGTGTCTTTTGTTCTCTCTACCGATTCTTCCGTGCCAACGACCCCAGTTTTACGTGCAAACCGGTTCGAGTAACATGCAGTATACGTATGTATCATAACGACCGCATCTAGTATCCCAGCCGCACCAGCGACCTACACGCCACTCCTGACCAGCACGTCTCATCACCAGATGAACCGCATCAGAAGGCTCTAGCGTAACCAGCAATATATGCAGTGTGGTACCCTTGCCAGCTGTATATATCGCTTTGTGTCTTTTGTCTCGACCGATCATTCCGTGCCAACGACCCATAGTCGTACAGGCAACCAATTCGAGCAACCTTCAGTATGCATATGTATCATGACGACCGCATACTGTATTCTAGCCGCGCCAGCGACTCCTGACCACCACGGCTCATCTCCGGATGACCCGGACCCTGGTCTACGATCGATAACCGTGAACCAACATCGTACGCGCCAGCGTACTGGCACGCTGTATATCGATTGTTTTGTCTCGACCGATTAGTCCGTGCCAACGACCCATAGCTGTACGTGCAAACCGATTCGAGTGACCTTCAGCATACATATGTATCTTAACGACCGCATACTGTATCCCAGCCGCATCAGCGACTCCTGACCACCACGTCTCATCTCCAGATGAATCGTACCCTGGTCTCCGATCAATAACCGCGAGCCGGCATTCTACGCACCAGCGTACTAGCTCGCTCTATATCGATTCGATGTATGTTTCTGCCTGCCGTGCCACCGATTTTTCCATACACGACGACCATATTCGCGCGTACAACACCGGCCCCCCAGATTATGTGTCCTGACGGCCGCAGTCCGTCCCGCAATCGCACCAGCGACATACGTGCTACACTTCTGATAACCACAACTCATCGCCAGATGACAAGCCACCATGGTTTATATCAATCATCGCACCCCCTTTTTATCCGGTCCACATTGACTTCTGGAAAACCTCGTGGGAAAAAAAAACCGTCCATCAAGTGTACCCGAAAAACAAGCTGCTGCGAAATCAACGTGGGTGTTGGGTGTTGGTGTGGATATCCACCACCTTTCCTCGGGCAGACGGATTAGTGTGTATTTCGTCTCTTGACCCCTTCTCCCTCGATCCGACGGATCTGCACTCAAGTATTCGTGCCCCGTCGTGTGATTGAGGACCTGCACTCAACCTTGAGCCTTGTCTTGTAATTGTGATTTGTGTAAGCACAACCACACCACAGCAGTCTCCGAGACTGCTGTACCGGAAATTAGACATTATATCCGCTCCTGCGACGTATAGTCTGTATTTCCTCCGCTTGGCCGCGTATGCCTACACACGAGTTGAAGTTTGTAAATAAAACAAACGCAAACCAATCCGCTCCTAGCGGTCTTTGTGACACCTACTTCGCACGCAAAGGGGTTCGGTTGTGTCTCGCATACTCGTATGATATCCTCTGTCGCGTATTGCACCCTTGGTTTGTAATCCTTGTGATTGAAACTGCGCCGGTCCATGCACACCAGCGCACGCACCGCAATCGCGTCATCAGCTAGGCATCGCCCTGCTCGAGCAAGCCCCCCAAGAGCGGCGACATACCATGCACACCCGCTGCCAACCAGATTCTTGGGCTTCACCCCGCCAAGACAACACTAGCCCCCCGGAACAGAACGTCTTCACAGGTAGTAGCTGGCAGTGTTGTCCACTCGTACGTTTAGCAGTCCCTGTGCTCCAGCACTGATGATGCTTCAACGTGATCGGGCGCAAACAGAATGTCCTACGAGCAGCTTCCTTCTCTCGGTGCGCATGCCTCCTCTTCTATACGCACGCCGACATCTTCTTTGGCACATAACAATAAATGCTAACTTCTCATCAACTCCAATAAACACCAATTTCAGACTCCTCCCCCCTTAGGTTGGATACATCTGAAATACTTGCTTGTCGCGGGAAGGCTATCCCTGAGAGGGAGGTAGGTGTAGCGCGTGCTGCGCAACGTGTGAGCTCCTTTCCCTTTTGCAGAGCGGTGGGTGGTGTGTGTATGTGTCGTTTGAACAAGTTTAGCAACAACAATCAATTTGTGCACAATCGAGCACGTGTCATGAGGTGCTGCGCCAACGAGTAGAAAATGCATGTGCGCCAACAGGCCATTTATCACCCTTCACCACCCACTCTTAGTCTTGTGCTTCTGCCACGCATTTTCGGGCCTCCTCTGGCGCACACACAAGGTTATTTTGTGTCGTTCGCAGCACGAATGAAGCCCACGGGTTGGTCTCACGGGACGGAAAATTTCGGTCACGATAGCTGTGAGCAAGAAAAGACATAAGTGCACCATGTCGAAATGCATTGTACCGGATCTGCGGTGCAGTGACGTCTGTCTACCTGTCTGGCGGTACTGTAAATGGTTCGCCATGGTGTTGTCTATGATGGTCGAGGTGTGTGTGTTTGGGCAGCTCCACGGGATGGTGCGGTGAGTGTCGGAAGGACATCGGGAGTGTCTGGAGGTGTGCAGGCCAATGGAAAAGTATTCCTCTAAAGACCCAAATGATCAAGCAAGATAAAATTCAGACTTTTCTGCGGTCTTTGGGGCCGATTCGTAAAAACAAAAGACCAAGTTCCGAAAGATCGATCGGTCTTCGGCGCTTTTGGGGATGAAAAAGACCAAGACCGAACTAAAATTAGATCTTCGCAAACACCGTAAGAAATAGCGCATGATCGTACGCAGCGGGGTGGAAGTGGGCCTTGGCCAACCATCTCGGTTCATTTCACGTTGTTGAATGTACCGCTCTGAGCGCTGATTCGGAAAGAAGACCAAACACAAAGAAGCCCCTGTTGTGTACCGTATATTACACGAGACAACACACTCCCTTGACCGATTTCCAAAGCTCGACTACCCCACGACCAAGAGGTTCAACTAAAGAAACGATACATTTTCGGAAAGCTCTCGATGAGACGATTCCAACGCCGCCGTTTTCGGCGCTGTGACTCTTCCTGCTGTCGAGAAACCGAGCTGTGAAAATCGGTCAAGGGGGTGCGTTATCTTGTGTCATAGACGGTAGTTTGCCCTATCAATCACATACTCCACGAACAACTACAAAACAGTGAGTACTGGTTTCGGCAATGGGCAAGAATTCCTGGGTGAAGGGCTCGCTCGTTGGGGGTTTTGGGGGCAGAGTCTCTGCTGCGAGAATCACCCAAGTGCTCCCTGCTGTGATGAACACCAATCAATATATACCCCTTTTTTGCTGGCTTGTAGCTCGTATGAGAGATATTATTTTTTGTGGGCACATACCCCACACCACATCTGTCGTCGTGTTTGAACACGTTCAACCGACATCAACACAGAGAGAGCGTGGCGTTGTGAGGTGCTGCACAACGCGTAACATGTATGTGTACGAACCTCCTTCTACCCTCCACCTGCCACCCTCGTGTTCCTGCCACGCCCTCTGGTTTGGGCTTTCTCCGGCCCACACAAGGATAGTTGTGGCGGGTTCCGCAGATAACCGAACAGCTCAGCGCTCGGTGGGAAAACAACCAATGAAACGATTGCACAGGTCGCGCTAAAACAGCCGAAAAAGAGGTACGCAAACAAACGAAATCACAAAGAATGACAGTTCATCTTCGCCAAAATATCGATTTTCGAGGCAGTACCAGTACCTTTTCTCATTTGCCTTCGTCGGGAATCATTTTGTCTTGGTCGATTTAGGCGTAACCACTATAAGAACGTTGATCTGACTACTAGTGGCCGCGATAGGTTGTTTGCTAAAAAAGTGTTGGAATATTCAATGTTCAGTAGTCAGTATTGGTACTACTGTTAGCTACCACACATTAGTCTCAAGCCATAGGAACCCAGTAACTATTACTGGAATAGTCTTCGGCTCATTGCATTGAGTGGTCGGATGATTGTACACACCCATCGGGTTAATTCTTGTCCATAAGCTATACATTTGGCTATACATATCCACAAGGATATTCTAGGATATTGTGACACATCGGACTATCCGATTATCGGTTGATTAGCTATAGTCCGAGTGTGACATTTTCCGCTGACAGGCTAAAGGGCTAACTTCTGTGGTGCTCGCCCCACACCTGATCACTCCTCAACTGTTTCTACCTTTCGGCCACCTAAGCGCCAATTCAAACCATCTTCTGTCTCAACCTGAATCCAAGCGCTGTCACGATCACTCTGTGAGCATCTGCACCACCACACTGTTCTACACAGTGCCCAGTGGCAGGAATACAACCTACACACGGTTACATGCCATCAGGATATGAGCCACGACCATCATGTCGTCTACCACTGGAACTGTCAACGTCCCCGAATCTATCATGTGGGACATGTCTGAGGACATCAAGGACTGGCTCACCTGCAACGAGAATCTCTACAACTACTCGCGGCTAGCTGTCTTGAACAGTTTGCGCCCGAGGAAGGTATTCTGCCGAATGGTATTGCCATGTGGAAAGGGTTGTTCGACAAGTACAAGAACGACACGCGGCAGAAGATTATGCTTGTTCGTAAGGAGCTCACTTACCGCGTCATGCAAGAAGGCGAAGACCCCGACGTCTATTTTCAAGAGCTATTTGCACTGCAAGCCGAGCTCAAGGCCATGGGCAAGCATGTTGATGATGATGAAATTTTTGGCCTTATTTAAACGGTATGACCGACGAATATTCGCAAGTTAAACTTCATGCGAAGGCTCAGCCAGACTTCGATTTAAACGCCGCGATGGAAACCATGCGAAAGATGTGGGCTACTCGCGACGCTGCAAACGAGCTTTCGCGCGCCGCGAAAGGTCGTCTGTCTGCAATGTCTGCCACGGCGTCTGCAAAATTTTGCACCTTCTGTCGTAAGAAAGGACAGTCTGAAACTTAATGTTTCAAAAATGGCAACAAGAAGCCGGCCGGACAAGCTCCCGGCGGCAGGACGGGCGACTGGTGCACCCTGCTCAAGACCTCGCGACGCGACAATTCTACTTGTCGTGAGCAGCAGCGCAACTTCAACGGCGGCAACCCCCGCAACAACGATTGACGCCGCCGCAACCAGGGAGGACAACAGCGCCGCCGCAATTTCACCAACAACAACGGAGGCAACTACAACAAAAACGCCGGCGCCTACATCAGCAGCGCTCAAGCCAATTATGATAAAAAATTTCCTGCCCCGCCGTCTGCAAACACGATGGTCCAAGAGTACAACCCTGCCGGGCAGCAACCGCCGGGTTCTGCTACCCCCCTCTCCGTACCCCCTTCCAGCGTTTGTTTTTCGTTCCTCGCGTCACAAACCAACCCACATCCGGAGCCGGTTCGATTTACCATGACCGTGGACACCGGCGCCTTCAGCCACTGCCTGGACACAAAACGTCTGCCATCACCCAGAACATGACCGAGTACACAAAAGATCGACCCCCCCTCATGATCGACGTCCCCGGCAAAGGGCAGCTCCACAGCTCCGCGATGGGGGCTCTCAAGGTCACCGTCTCCGATCGCCAAGGCACCGCCCGCGCAATCCGCCTTCCGTTCTTCTGCGTCTCCGACCTGGGGCGCCACCCGTTTACCGGAGGGACAGCCATGAAGCACGGGGTGGGTGTTCTGTTGACGCCGAAGTCGCCTTGCCTGGACATGGGATCGTTTCAAATTCCTGTTCAACAAGATGCAAACTGCGACTCGCTTTTCCACTTCGACCTGGCCATCGCCGCCGCCAGCGTGGCAACGCAGCACGCCTTTGTGACGATTTCGGGCGCGGACTTGCCGCGGGGGAGAGCAAACGTAACGATCGTCAAGCTTCCTACTGGGTCTACCACGGCTTCTTCACAAGGGTCTACAACAGCTTCTTCACAGCATACTGCCTTCGCAGCAGTTAAATCCTCCAAGACCCCCGCCAACATCTGGCACAAACGACTGGGACATTCAAGTGTACAAGTGCTGGAAAAATTAACTCGCACGGACGGCAACGGGGTTCATCTCTACGACTCTCTCTCGGCATGTGACACTTGCCACGTCAACAAGAGCTTGCAGAATAATCACCCCAAGACTGCCATAAGCGACAACATTACGCAGCCTCTTCAAGCCGTCAGCACCGACCTCATCGTCCCCATTTCGCCCCCTGCACTCGGAGGCAACAGCTACATATCGAAGTTCACCGACTACATCACACGGCCCAAGGCCGTCTACTTCATCACGCACAAGCACGAAGCGCTTTCTTTCGTCTTTCGTAGATTTTACGCAAGATGTGGCTATTCCGTTGGGTCTTCGTATTCAGCGTCTTCATTCGGACAACGGCAAGGAGTACGTGAACAGCGGTTCCGCAACTACTGCAAGACCACTGGCGTTGTGCAAACCTTCACTTCACCCCACACGCCGCATCAAAACGGCATCTCGGAGCGCGACGGACGGACTATTCCCAACATGACGCGCTGCATTTTGAATGAGGCGCGCCTCCCAACATTTTCACGGGGGGAGATCGCTGCAACTTCGGTCTTCTTGATAAATCGTCTACCGCACAAGGCTCTGCGAGGGGACACGCCGTACTACCGCATGTTCGGCAAATAAGCCGAACTTTCCTTTCTGCGCATCATTGGATGTCGGGCTTTCGTCCACGTTGAGGGACACACCAACAAGCTGTAGCCCAAGGCGTGAGAAGGAATTCTCGTGGGCTACAACAGCGACAGCCTATCATTTCGGGTGTACAACCGAGAAAAAAGACGCATCGCGAGCTCCCGCAACGTCACGTTCATCGAGGAGCCACCCGCTTTGATTCCTTCAGTCGACGCTTCAGATGAGTCTGTTTCTGATTTCGAAGACAAAACGGCCTCGCCGGACGAGGACATCGTCAACAAGGGTATTTCGCTTTTGGAGCAAACGGCCACCGAATCAACGGGCACCAGCTCAAGCAACACCAACAGCAGCCGCAGCAGCCCCGCCGCCCAAGATCCGCGAGCGGGCAAGATCAGTTCTTGGCTGCGCTCATCAGTTCCGAAGGACCTCCCGCAGCCTGACTACATCAACCCTCGGTAAGCACGAGCTCTGCAGCAGCTGAATCTGGCAACTGTCGACTCGACACAAGACACCCTGGCCTCCTACACCGAGTATGTTGGAGGCGTCGGCATGGACAGTGTTCTTTCGCCAGCAGCAGTCGAAGTGCGCAACACGTACAAGCAAGCCATGGCCTCACCTCAAGCAACCCAATGGGAGAAGGTCATGCGCAAGGAGCTCGACAGCCTCAACGATCACGAAGTCTCCGACCTCATCCCCTTCTCTGTTCCCGCCGGCTACAGCATCATCGGCACGCGCTGGGTCTACAGGGTCAAAACGGACGGCAGGTTTAAGGCAAGAGTTGTGGTTCAGGGATGATGGGCACAGCAGCACGGAGTTGACTGCTTTACGCCTTTCGCGCCTGTGTGCCGGATGGGCAGCCAGCGCCTTCTCCTGGCTATAGCGGCGAGGCGCATGTCTAGCCCGCGGGAGGGTCATCTCGCCAACATCAAACGCATTTTTCGGTACCTCCACAAGAGGCCAAATTCATCTCTGGTCAACCAAAAGGACAGCCGCTTCGAAATTACCTGCTATTCGGACGTCAGCTACACTCCAACTAAGGACTACAAGAGCTTCACTGGATCCATGGTCTTTCTCGCTGGAGATCATCTACTTCAGTTCCAGAGTACAAAGGATCGTCGCTCAAAGCAGCAGCGAGGGAGAAATTATCGCGATCAACTCGACAGCGAAACATGGAGTTTACCTCTCTCCGCTCATGGGAGAGCTAGGATGGAGCCAGCTACTCAAGTTCAAGCTACTCACCGACAACCGGAGCACCCTCTCTCTTCTTGCCAATGGAACCTTTTCGAATCGCTCGAGGCACATCAGTGTTCGCTATGAAGCACTCCTCTGCTGGGTCTCCTCAAGGATTGCCCTGGACCACGTTCCTTCTTCCCACATGTTAAGCGACATCCTGACGAAAAGCCTCGTCAAGGAGCTCCAGGATAGCGTCATCCGCCAAGTGGAGCAGTTCATCTAGCCGCCAGCAGCTGGATCTCCATGAACTTCATGCTCATGAAAAGCCACTGCCGTGCATGCGTGGCAGGAGCTCAACGTGTGTACACTTCAAGTGGGGTGGTACCCCATCAAGCAACCATTGGGACCCGTGCATCTCGCCGCGTGTAACGCCTTTCTCCCAGTTTCCACGACATTTCTTTGACAATTCTCCGAACACCCCGTCCGGGGAGGTATTCCGGGCTTCGCAGCTCAGCATCGACCCGACGACGGCATCTACCCGGCTGCACAAGACAACTACCCGACCGGAGTAATCCAGCGATTACCTCGCTGTCGTCCCCACAGGGCCCACTTCAAGTTTTTGTCTCCCGTTTCTCTTCTTCTTCATCATCTACATTTCTCATCTCTTCTTCATCAATGGACCACCACCATGAATCGGACTCAAGGGTCGCCAGACTCCAGGAGCGTCATCATCGTGAGCAGCGCTTCCTCCAGGAGCGTCAACAGCAGCTTTACCAGCGTCGACAGCAGCAGGCGATGCGGCAGCGAGGGCGCCGTACGCAACTAAGGCGCGCTCGCCCCCGCCAACGGCAGCTCGAGGAGCGACAACAGCACTACAGCCTAAGCGACCGGTTCGACCACATGGCAAACGAGTCTGGACAACGGCACCGTCGTTTTTTGTTACGGGCAGTACGACTTCACGATCACCAACAAAAACAAGTCTCCCGAGCCCCAACAAGTTCGCCCTCAGCGCATCCTTGCCCCCGACGAGGACATCCACGGTATTCACTGGGGACACCTAATCAGCATTTTCGGCGACCTCGAGATTAAAGGTCGAACTCGTAATGCCGATGGGAATGGTTCGGGACTTGCGGTCTCTAAGCCTCTTAGATAAGGAGGCGTACCCTACAGTAGCTGACTTCCTAGAAAGCCTACCCCACCTACATTAAACCGTCGATCCGACATTTTGACTGTCACGGATGTTCGTGTTTTCATGTTCCTAGTCAAAGGCTGGATGAAGGAGGGTACTTTCGACTTCCCAAAGTCCATGAAACTGTTCGATAGGATCCTATCGACGTTTAACACTTCGACACCCGCGGAAACAACTCCCTCCTTCAGGGACGCGGGAGCAGTCATTACAGAACTGCCTTAGTCAAAATCTTGGATGCACTTTCCGTTGCTTGTAGCAAAGTATGGACGATTCTTCTTCTAGATGTCTTTGTGCGTGTCGTGACTAATGGGCAAGACAATTGCATGTTTTTTCAAGTACCCACAGAGCATCTTCCCTTCTGGTTCAAAGTTGTACAGCAGCCTAGCCGAATGCTGCTTGCTATCTGTAGCCAGAGTATCTAGCACTCTTTCCGACTTGTATGTCTTTGATTGAATGGACTTTTGCCTGACTAGCGTCCAATGCGGGGGAGTGTTGGAATATTCAATGTTCAGTAGTACTGCTGCAAGCTACCACACATTAGTCTCAAGCCATAGGAACCCAGTAGCTATTACTGGAATATTCCTCGGCTCATTGCATTGAGTGGTCGGATGATTGTACACACCCATCGCATAATCTTAGCCATAAGCTATACAATTGGCTGTACATATACACAAGGATATTCTAGGATATTGTGACACATCAGACTATCCGATTATCGGTTGATTAGCAATAGTCGGAGTGTGACATTTTCCCGTGACAGGCTAAAGGGCTAACCCCTGTGGTGCTCGTCCCCCACCTGATCACTCCTCAACTGTTTCTACCTTTCGGCCACCTAAGCGCCAATTCAAACCATCTTCTGCCTCAACCTGAATCCAAGCGCTGTCACGATCACTCTGTGAGCCTCTGCACCACCACACTGCTGTTACTCACACAAATGCCCAGTGCCAGGAACACAAACTACACACGGTTACATGCCATCAAAAACAATCTCAGGGATTCTGAGAACTTTCAACAATTGGCCTGTAGGGCAGCTGTATGTCATGTAGGGTCGATTGTGAGTCCAAACTGGGATGTTGTTGTTGTTGTTGCTGTTGTTGTTGTCTTCACATTAAAACTGTTCCGTTTTCTCTGCCCAGTACGTTCTTCTGTCCGTACTTGTCTAGCACTTGACGGGGTCGATTCCCGTGGTCGCAGGCTGAAAAAGGATCCGAAGGGTGGACACGCCAATAGAAAATCAACGACACATAGTCGAACTGGGACGTAATGACAGACTCGTGACACCGCTTGACACCTTTATGTATGCCCTTTGTATTGCCTTCGGCCTCTGTGCTGTGCCTCTTTTTTTCATGTCCTCCCTGCCTACTCTGCCGTGTTGGGTACCTTGATTTCCGTTTTGGTGTTGCTTTTGTTTCTTGTATATCTGGCTGTCTGCCCATCTGCCGCCTGTTTGTGCTGTTGGCTCCGACACTCCCATGCCCTGGTGCGTAGTGCCTGGTTCTTGTACGTTCCCCTTAATCTTTTTTTTCTCTTTAGGCGGGTGTGGGAAGCGTCCTTCTCTTTTCTTTTTTTTATATTTTGATCGGTCTCCGAGGGCTGTTTTCTCGACCGGTCGGTGCGGTAGCTGTTCTTTGCTTTCTGTCATTTTGTTGTCGTTTTTCCGAGTGGTTTGTACCCTATTTTTGTTTTGTTTCCCCGCGGCGTCGTATATGCCGGGTTTTGAGACCGCGGGCTCTCCATTTCTTGTGGACTACAGAGCTAATGCGAGGAACAACAACAACGACCCCGCCCGGAAATTTTTCGAAAATGGCGATTTCAGCTCGACCAAAGCCTATTCAGAGTCGGGCGAGGGGTTGAGCCCCATCCCCTCTTTCGGGTGATATATCAATTGAAACCCGGGCACGAAAGGCCCCGTTTGTTTGCTCTCAAGCTTTTCAACCGTTATGTCCTAAGGAGCGTACTGACACAGCATACAATTGCAAAAGGGTTGTTTCGCAGGGGCGGAAATTCCGTCCTGAATGATGCCCTGACTGAGTTATGCCCAGTTGCCATATGGTTGTTCTTGGGCGGAAAGAGTTGATGGTGGGTATCCAAGGCTGAAGGGGAATAGGATAGGGCAAGCATCTTCGAAGAGGACACCGTTGGTGAAAGAATAAGAAGGAGAACCCCGTTTGTTGATGCTATGCGCGAAAGAACTTGCAGATTTTGAACAATGGACTCACTCGCGGTTTGAGGCAAAAAAGCGCGTTGAGCCTCACGCAATAAATAAAGCGGTTCCTACATGGTGGCGCGTTCTATAGAGCGACCGAGAGAGAAAGGAAGGATGAGGAAGGAATCGGACTGAAATGAAGCAGCAGCTAACCTGCCCACAGTGGTCGGATCCGCGGCACACCCTTCAAATCTCGTCACCTTTACGAATTGCGTGAGATGTTCCTAAGCCCAATATGGACTCAGTTTGTGTCGCTGAATTGCTCCGACCTAGTTCAAGTTTGACCCCACCAAAAAGTGACCCAATCTCTGCTTTTTCGCTTGGTTTTAGTGTAGGCAATCTCCGGTCTCTTCTTAAGAAGCAAGTTGTTTTCTTGGGTGGATCTTCTCGAGATTCCATCTATAGATTTCCGTGTGGGTTGGAAGAGGTGTCCCTCCTGGCCCGTGTCGCCCCTTCTGCGAGTTTGGTGCTAAACACTCGTGTCAGCTTGTGAGAACGCGTCCGTTGTTGTAAGTCTCTTTCGTGGATCTCCCCCGTGCGCGAACAACCGAACCACCCCTCTCTCATCATTACCCCAAGTTTTGCCCCCAGTGGTCGCAAGTTCTGCCGCACCCACGACGAAAAGGATATACGTCCACGGTTGGTTCAGAATCATGCACGGAAGTCGACGACTTTGGACTGCATGAATCCGACAGGCACATGAAATTTTGTCCTCACAGGAGATGTGTCCCTGTGGGGTTGACCTGCCATGGGGTCCCTAGTCGAGTGGCGCGTGCATGTGTGGCGAGAAGTATAGCCGATAGGCAATTGCTCCGACATACATTCTGGAGGCACACCTCTCGCAGGGTCAACCTCACCAGGATGTTTACCAAGCAGCTTGCAGAACTGCTTTGCTGCTGTGGTGAGATTGCACAACTTATTGGGTCTCCCAGACTGATTGAAGACCACAGAGAATATGAATGTAGTCGGCACACAGTGGCATCGAACATCTTGTCAGGGTGTGTCTTCGCTATAAGATAATGTTACACCGTCAATCAAGTCAGCGCTGACTAGACAAATGGTGTAACGGGTGGCGATAATTGTCTGACCCACGGGTTCGACTCCCGGCTGATCATTTTTTTCAGGCAGCGTCTGGCGAGGGGTTCGTCCCCGGAGATCCCTTCTCTCTCGGCCCGTGGTCACGAAAGTGCTAGAGCCATCTGAGGATCTAAAGAACACGCACACGTA